TGTGATTGTAATTGAGTAACTGAGCACACACACACCGGGGGAGAGTTTAAAATCTATTTAAAAAAAAAAAAACTAAACATACTATACAAAATCTTATTCTTACCCTTTCCTAAAATACATATAAAAGAACGTAACAAGCATAAAAGCCCAATAGTAATTAAAATATTACAATTGAAATCAATTAATAAAAAAAAATTAATATAATTCAACTTATATAAAAAATCTATACATTAAAATCTATGCTGGTTATTTGTACAAATTTAGGTTATAATACATCACATCTCCGTCTATTATATCATTTGTAATGGTATCAATAATAGTGATCCATATCAGTAACAATAATTAGTGTCAGTGTTAATTACAATATCAGTAATAGTGAGAGTCTCAGCAATATTAATAGTATTGATAGTAAATAGCGTTAGTACAATATAAGCTATAATATCAATAACAATGATGGCTAACCGATCAATAATCATTATCAACAGTCAATCAATATTCTATCGGATGTTCATATGAGAGTATATTGATCTTGATCTTGCTCCCACTCTTATGACTCCGATCAGTCATCCCTTTTTATTTCCAATCAATGAACTCCTCATAACTCCCATTGAATCACGTAAATCTAGCTATCACTCCGACTCCTTATTACTCCATAAATCTCCAACTTATGACTCCCATCCATTGACTCCTATCAGTGTGGATCTTAAGAATATCACATGATGTTATCATTTCATAAATCTAATATTAATTAGTAGTCATGTTTCCATCAGATTAGTATCAGTGTAGAATAATACATCCTTTCAATACACATAAATCAAATTTTCAGTCATTTCAATATTATCATATCAAATCATATTACACTACTTTCCAACCTATTTTTAGTATACATTTTTTTACTTCTTTCACAGAAACATTCCTATCGACAAATTTAACTTGGGAAATGTAATAAAATCATTTTAAATCGTTCACAATGATCAAATATATAATATACCAAAGTTACACGATACAAACTTATGAAATCATGAGATAATGCAATTTTAGAATATTTAGGAGAGATAAATTCATTGAAATCAAAATCATCGAAAACATAAGCAAGATAATAGTTACAACATTTAGAATACATTTAGACATTCAGCACCACAGCCCGAAGTTGACTCAGATTGACCCGGATGGGATATTGAGCGGCCTGGTTGACTCATAGAATGCGCCGACCTGTGAGGAAGGACTAGATCGTCGATGGCTTCAGCTCAACAGAGAGGTTAGATCGAGCGGCTCGACTGGATGAGTCAAAATCTAGTTCAGATGCAGTGGAGGCGGAAGAACCGAATGGGAGGTTGGCTTTGGCTATGGTAGAACGTGGGCGTTTGATCAGATGGAGATCGGAACTGGGTAGTGCGGTCAGGGTTCAATCGACGGGATTAGAATGTGTGATTGGATCTTGGATGAAGTTGTCGGGCTACAGCGAGAGACGCGTGGAGTCGAATGGCAGAGGAAGGAGGTTCGGCTTGTGAGGAAGGAAATGCGGGATGTGGAGATCATGTGGGAGCTTGTTAGCGGGAAGAAATGCCTAGAGCCAGTTCGTCGTTTTTTTTTTTTTTTTTTTTTGATAGGAAGTAAAGACAACAATGGGTTGACAAGTGGTAATAGGTTGATCCAGATCCGAAGCGGGTCGGATTCGGATCCGAAAATGCGACTGTTTTAAAAAAAGTGTCATTTTTGGGTCGGATCAACTAATATCGGTTCATCTCCAAATTTTTTTTTGGGACATATTCATCTCCAAATTAGATCTGAACTAGACCCGTAACACAATTTTAACAGCTTTATCATATATCCGTGGTTCACATGACCTCTACAAAAATTAGATTTTTGCTTACTAATGGCGTGGTACCTAAGCTCACGACAAGTGTGATGGGACAAGTGGTAGCCACGGTCCACGGTCACGTATATGTGAAGGGTGGGAAGAAGACAAATTGTAGGCCCCACTGACTCAATTATTTTTAATTCCCAACGAAATGGAGCATAAACTGATTAGAATGGAAGCAACCGAGCAATTGAGCAATGCAGAATTGCTGATACATCCATTTTATGATAAACACGTGGTAAAAGTGAAATATATATATATATATATATATATATATAATAATTTCTCCTGTTGATGATATTTATATCTAAAGAGGTTTGTGATAAGTAGCTCTCGATGCTACAGTGATTTTTCATTTTAAAATAAAATGAAATATCTAAAGATATTAAAAAGTTATTTTCACTTTTTTTTTTTTGGACATTTAGGCCATTTAAGGCAAACTCACACACACAACGCATACACATGGACTCGAACCTTGGACCTCTTGGTTGGAAGTCTAAGCTTTCAACCAATAGGTCAAGGAGAGTTGTGTATTTTCACTAATTAAAAAAATAAAAATACTAAAAAAATATAAAAAAAATGGAGGCCGACTTACATATCCATCATCAAATTTTTATATTTTTTATATATATCTAATTTTTAAAATTTTTAAATAATTTGGAGAATTAAGTGTTTTTTAAGTAAATCTAACATGAACAAAAAAATTTTAATTCCCCAAGCCTTAAAAAAAATGACTTTGCTAACTAACATTCAAAGCCCCAATTCCTCTATAAAAACCACCTCAATATCCCCTAAATAAGCAATAATAAGCTAGCCCAAACAAAAATGGCAAAATCACTCCTCATATTAGTCATCACCATCCTCTCTACTTCCTTCATTTCCTTCATCAAAGACGCCATGACTTCACCTTTCAGAGCTTTTATGGCCGCTCTTTTGGTCTCTGAAGAGCTCTGTACTGAAATAGATTGCGTTATTTGTCTGTGCAAGATCAGAAGGGCAAAAGAGACTGCTCCTTTGAGATGCAGGCATGCGTTTCACAAGCAATGCTTGGATGGATGGATGAAGAAGAGCAAGAGGACGACTTGTCCTCTTTGTAGAGATAACTTGATCGTCGGCGGTTCGTCGGAGACGAAGAACGATGAAGGAGAAGATGGAGGGCTAATTCGAAGCCATAATATTATTATTATTTCTCCATTTGTTGAATCAAGGAGCAGAGATTTGTGTTGGATTAGATAGGGATTAATCAATTAGATTCTAGACGTGTTTGTACAAAATTACTAATCTTTAGAATGAAAGTGCTTTCTTTTTTTGTATATACAGGTTTGTTTAATAATAAATAAGGATCTGATTTGGATGGTTTTAATATTTTCTAAATTAAATTGTGAAGCTGTTATGAGAAAAACAACTTAGCTGTTTATGACACCGTAAGTAAAAAAATTCTGTTAAAAAGCTTCATATCTATTGGTCCCCCACCCCCTCTTTGGATTTGTGTTGAGATTGTGCCTGTTTATCAGAATTACTTTTTGTTTTTTCTTATGAACGAGATAGAGGGAGATGAATAGAGGTTAATGTATTGTTTAAGGAGCAGTTTTTATTGTTTAAGGAGTAATTTTTATTGTTTTGAAGTGTCAGAATATCGGCTCAATATGTTTGATTAGGAGATAATCTAGGGTTGTTTGGCTAGAAGTTGGATTTAACTCAACAGGATTCAATAAATCCTATAAATATATATATTTCATGCAATGAAAAATTATGATGTGCTTGAAATTATTAAAGAATATGAGTATATGATTAATACATTGTTGAAATTTATATTATGATATATGCTATGGAATTTATAAATTTTATCCTTCTGATGTATTTAATGGTTGAAATTTTAGATGTTACAAATGAATTATCACTAAGTGTTGTATAAAAAGATTAATATATCATGAATACAAAAAATTAGTACAAGTCACCAAGCAACAATCACATATTATGGGGGAGAATGGATTACATTATTTACTTGATGAAGTGTCACATTTTTATAGTGTTTTAACAGTTGACGATCAATACACAAATGAGGAAATAATAAATATGCATCATTATCGTGTGTATTTCTTTTATATTGTTATTGATATACAAATTCAATAGTTGAATAATAGATTCTCTGAAGCTGGTATTGAATTATTTCTTTGTGTTTCATATCTAAATTCAATTAACTCATTTTATGCTTATGGTAAGAAAAATTAAATCAGCTTGCAGAACTATATTGAGCAGATTTTTCTGTAATTGAATTTGTGTGGCTCTAGTGTACTAGTTGTCAACATACACTCTTGATATGCATATAAGTGTAGAATTCTCATCTATGGATATCATTATTGATCTTGCAAAATAATTTATTAAGATTAAGAAAGATAATATGTATCCCTTAGTTTATTGGCTTATTATTTTGACATTAACTTTATTAGTTGTCACTGCTATAATAAAGAAAGCATTTTCTGCAATGAAAATTATTAAATATCAATTACGTAGTAAAATGTGTGATGATCGGCTCAATGATTGTCTAGTGTCATATATTGATAAAAAAATATTTGATTTGATTCTAAATGAAGTTGTAATGCAATATTATCAAAAAATACAAAATTGAATGCAAAGCTCATATATAATTTTTTTATTTGCCAATTATAATGCAATACAAATATTTATTTTGAATTATATATATATGCCCCCCTAAGAAATAAAGTTAGTTTCGCCTTTAGCTTGGCTGCTGTAGTTGTAAAAAACAGCTTTACATCATAAATTTTTTTAAATAGTAAAGTATTAACATTAAAATAATTGTCAAATTAAATTATGATGTTTATATTAAAAATAAAGTAATAAAAAAAAGCTGTCGATGTATATCAGTATATGCCAGTTGAAGTCACCATCACCCATGAAAACTATTTGCCTACTTGGTACGTGAAAATAAGACGAGGTTGGCAGGTGTGAGCTAGATGACAATTAGCTTTCCATTTTCCAATCATTGCAATTTGATTAGATTTCATTCTTATCGTTAACAATCACAATGTATTGTAATTTCTTCTTTTATTATATTTTTAATTATTTTTTATGAATGATTTATATTCTTGTTAATCATTATATCAAAATAAATCTAAAAATATTGGGGCTTATACTAGGGGTGTCAATATTTGACAAGACACGAAAATCCGACCCGGATCATACCCGGAAAATCTGGGTTGGACCCGACCCGATTTCAAAATGGGTCGGGTTCAGGTTCCCGGGTTCGACCTGTTTAAAAATGGGTCGGGTTCGGGTCAACCCGCGAACCTGTTTAACTTGAACTGCCCGCACTGCACCGCCTGCCCGTGCACCGCTCGCGGCTGCCAGAACCTTGCCCTAAAATTAATAATTTATTTTAAACAATTGAGTATTAATTTATAAAAAAAAAAAAAAATCCATATGAATTTGTCACTATTTGTTCGGAATTTCTTCAATTGCAAAGAAGTAGAACGGTGGATAGATGCCTTATGCTCCGCAATTCTCAATTTTAATATTAATTTATTTTTCAGCTGAGTTTTATATGCAAGAAGATATAATTAATAATTTAATATAAAACTAATCAGAAGTTATATTTAATGAGTATCTGATGCTGGGGATTCCTGATCTTGTTGCGAGTAGCTGCTTGTTTGTATCCTAAAGGGCAGTTTGGCTATAGGATTGTTGAGTCCTAGTATATTCGCGGAAGTCGAGAAATATAAAATTTAACGTCTTAATTTTGTACGAAGATTCAACATACAATCAGATAAAAAATGAGGGTGCAACTATTTTAAGAGAAACTAATATCTTTATGTGAAACCCCTGAAAAGGGAAACAACTACTAGTATTTGCAGTTGATTACAAATAAGGCCTTTCATTGGAGGGAAGACCTTGGCTCGATGTAATAAATATACATCATATAGAATGCATTACATGGTAAAAATTGGAAGAATCAATATTGATTTGTTCGTATGGTCTGCAAGACCATAGTTGACTGGGGATGGAGGTCAAAATGACTGTTGTCTAGCGACGGAGGTTGGAAGGACAGTAGTTGGCAGGCGATGAAAGTCAGAAGGATCATTGTCTGCCGACGGAGGTTGGAAGGACTATAGTCGATGGCGGGGCAGAAGTCCAGTGTCAGTTGCTTGGCGAGAAGAAGTTCGAGCTCAGTCGGTGGACGGGCAAAAGTTCGGCGTTAGTTGGCAACAGGGAAGAAGTACGACATCAGTTGATGGTGGGGAAGAAGTCTAGCGTCAGTTGGTGGCTGCGTAAGAGTTTGGCTTCATGGAAGAAGTTCGACATTAGTTGATGGTCGGGAAGAAGTCCGGTGTCACTCGGTGGCCAAGCAAAAGTTCGACGTCAGTTGGCAGCTAGGAAGAAGTCTGGTGTCAGTTGGCAGCTAGATGTAAATCTGGCGTCAATCAGTGGTCGAGTAAAAATCTGGTGTCAATCGGCGGCCGAGCAAAAGTCTGACGTTAGCCGGCGATGGTCGAGGAGTCTAGTGGCAAGCTGGGAGTGGTCTGAATGGACGGCCGATGTTAATGTCTTTGACCATCTATCGTTTATTGTTAATTTGAATGTCTTAATGATATCATAAATTTACCATTTTGGGCTTGTTGGATTCGTCTCGTCGAGTCACTCGATTCGATTATAAGCATGTCACGTTTGGAAACCATTGGTCATCGAACTTATGGTTTGAACCTTCTGAATATTCTTTGGGTCTTTGATTTGGACCCATTTGGGCTTGGATTGAGTCAAATTTGGTTTCGTTGGATTCGTCTTTTCTAGTCATTCAATTTGACTGTAAGTTTGTTGAAATCGGAGTTTGAAGGATCCCAAATTTAATTTTGAAAGTTTTCAACTTGATTTTGGTTCGAGATTCGTGCCCGATCAAGATAATTTTTTGATGATGTATCAATGATATATAACACATTTCAGTAAAATGTTTGTACTATAAAGGTGCTTTCAAAAGCAGTAAGAAAGTCATTTCAAACGAAATCTAAGACTTTGTTTGGAACGACTTTTTTAATGCTTCTTAAAACATTTATTTAGTAAAAAATTAAGGTTTCATTTGGGACTACTTTCTTCTTGTTTCTTGAATCAATTTTGTTTATTAGAAAATTGCTTTAACAAGTATTAAAAAAGTCATACCAAACAATATCTTAGTAAGTTCGAATTTATTAATTTTTTAGTGTAAAATTCTTAGAATTAATTGACATAATATATATTAAATTTGATTAAATTTTCATAAATTATTTGATAATTATTTTAAAGATATACATTTAAATCTATCAAGAGTTATTGAATTTAAGGGATTTAAATTAGTTATGTGAACTGATTTAATTCACCAAAATTATTTAATATTTATTTTATAAGTTACTAAGTTATTTAGTAATGCTCTTTAGGTAATGAGAGTGTAATAAATGATTAAATATTTATATAGAAGTTTAATCATAACAAATCAAAATGATTGAATATAAAACAATTGAAATTATTTAAAATGAAAATACTCATTTTTGCGGGCTGGAAGATTCGCGGCGGTCGCGGCCAAGCGGAGGTCCAGCGGCAGTCGGCGGCCGAGCAGTGGTCCGACAAAGGTCAGGCTGAAGTTCAGCGGCGGTCATTGACCGGGCGAAGGTCCGGCGGCGATCGTTGACCGGGCGAAGGTCCGGCGGCGGTCGGCGGCCGGGTGGTCCGATGATGGTCGGGCTGAAATTTGGTGGCTGCCCGCGGTCAGGTGGAAGTCCGACGACAATCGGTGTTTCGACGACAGGTTAGATGGAGTCCGACGGTGGTCGACAGCCACGTGGAAGTCTGACGATGGTCAGTGGTTGGGCGGTGGTCTGACGAAGGTCGGGCTGAAGTCCAGCGGTGGTCGTCGGCCGGTTGAAGGTCCGACGTCGGTCGTCGGCCGGGCGGTGCTGAAATTGGAATTTAAATGGTCCCAATTTTAATTTTGGATGTTTCCAACTTGATTTTCATCCAGATTCATGCCTGATCAAGATAATTTTTTATGATGCATTAATCATAAATCAATTATATGTTTTTGATTAATTATTCTCAAAAGACCCTATTTTGTTAATAATTATACCTGCATTGAAATTTAATATTGAATTAATATTCCTAATAAAAACTCCTTCAGTATATATGTATCGATATTTCTGATGGATCCTGTAAAATAATAAATTAACAGTTCTACTTATTCCCGAAACAAGCAAACAATCATTATCTATCACAAATGTCACTATATGAAAAATAATCTCAGAATTTTACATTAAAATCATTTGATTTTTGTTAGGAGACAATGAACTAAAAACAAAGAGAAATAATAAATAACAATCTTCAAAATATAAACGAACATAAGAGATTTACATGGAAAGTCCACATCTGAAAAAAATCATGGGAGAGAAAGGAGAGCTTTACTATAGAGAAGATGCAGAATACAAAAAGGCTTACAAACCCTAAGCCCTTTATAATATATTTATATGGCAAAAATAAGGAACTGAAAAACAAATAGAATTCAAAAAATAGTTTACAGCCAAAATTAATTTCGGGGGTGCTACCCCCTAGCTTGGACTCTTGACTCATCTGCAAAGCGTACGACGTTCAAGGGCATGAGCAAACAATAATCGAGTGAAATTTGAGGCAACTCTAACATGATAATTCAGAAAATCTACCCATCGGAGGTAATAATAAATAACCAATATGAGAATAAACAGTCGTTTATAAATAATTGATTTGATCAGCACTAACAAACAGCTTAGTCATATGCATAAATTTATCAAATAGTCACTCTTTCATGATGGAGGTTTTGTTTGAGACAATTTTCATATTGTTTTTTAAAGTAATTTTTTAGCACAATTTTTTTTTTTCAAAACTTTTTTGAGCTAAAAATATGCTTTATAAAATAGAATGAAAGTTATTCCAAACGAAGAGATAATCTATTATTAAGTTAGGATATATTCTAATATTCATTATATTTTGTATGAATTATATAGAATAAATTATTATGCATGCATTAATGTTTCATATGGTAACTAATAGCATATATAGCAAAACATAACCATAATATACAAACTCTCACAATAATCTACAATAGTTATAAAATAATCTCACAGAGTTAGGCGCTTCATTCACTTAAATAAATCCCATGTGATCGCTCTTTCATCTAATTAAAATAATTAATGGTTTAGGGCAACATATAATATATATCGCACGTTTAAATTGAAATAATCATTCAATTGTCACCATCTCATTCATGTGGAGTTGGACATTCCACCTTAATCCTTTTTTCTCCACATTTTTTTTCCTTTCCCTCTCTCTCTCTTCAGCTCTCTCTCTCTTTAGCTCTCTCTCTCTCTCTACCCTCTTCTCTCTTCAGGAAATCATTAAGTGAGCTATTCCTATTATCAAATTTAATATAAAATATTAACATTTTCTGTTAAATTAAGGTCTTTTTTTATTCATTGAAATTTTTTTAAAGGTGATTACAAAGTAGCTAATAAAAAATTGCTCCGGAAGCAGCTTCCTACTAAAAGTTTAGAACACAGCGACAATCAATGAATTACGATCTGAAAAATAATTAAGCAGTGAGAACGATTATTTTTTTTTATTTCAAATATAGATAATAACTTCTATTTTTATAAATATTTTATTTTTGACCACTAAATGTTCATTTATTGTATTATTAATTTATTATTATTATTTTATGATACAGAGCTGCTGTACAAATATATTTAAAAGATGCGGTCAATTTATCTTTTATGAATCAACTGATCAAGATTTTCTCAATATGTTAATAAAAAAAATCTCATTTCATTTTTTATTTACTTCTATGTCTCAAAAGATTTGGTGTCTCTTATAAAAAAGTTGAGTTTTTGTAGCTCTTCGTAGAGGTGGTTTGAAAACAGTCATCAAAACAAGTGTTTTGCATCGGTTATAATCGATATTATTTGCACCGGTTTTTAACCAGTTCAAATACCACCGGTTTTAACTGTTAGGATAGCCAAACATAAACGACCTAGGTCTTAAACTCGATCAGACGTTAGCTTCTCGATCCCCTTCTCTCTCGCTTTTGATACCTACCCTTCTTTGTAGGCGAGCGTGATTCTCTCTTCCTGTTCTCTCCTTTTTCGTCCATAGATCTTGGCATTCGATCGGAAAGTGAGTCAATTGGCCTCAAGTCCATCCGCTCATGTCCATCTCTTCCTAGTCTCCTTGGACAACCAGTAATTTGTCCACTAACATAGGGCTTCATTTGAAAAATTTGCATGTAAGCGGTTTATTGATTGTTATGTCCATCACTGCCCTAACCTAGACGTTTTTTTGTAGTTTAATGTTAAGGAATTCAACTTATCTTGTAAGTTGTAACCTAGCCGTTTCTTTGTTGTTTAATGTTACATTCTTGTCTACTAACCTAGATGTATCTTGATCTTTATTTCTTTGTTTGATGTCTATTTTATATTTTTTATTTTTTCTTTTAAGTGTACATTCTCTAGCTACCCTAATTTATACTTACTATCCAATAAACATGACGCTTAAGTTGCTTAGCTCAATCCCACAATACATTTACTTGTTATCAGGATGGTTTTCTACTACTCTTTATTCTCAATTTATGTCACAATTTCAGATGAATCAACCACCCCATCGAGGATAAGAAATGGTATGAAAAAAAAATATGTTATTTAATGTAAATTATAAATTGCTTCATTATTAGGATCCTATTATCTTCATACTATTTTCAGGGTAGCAATGACAATTCATCTGATGTCTGACAGTCTTCAAAAAAACCTAAGTTTGTTCTATTGATGAGCTCTGATGGATATTTTATGTATTTTTGAACTTATGTTATTTTGATGAGCTATATATATGATGTTGATGTTTAACTAAGAATTTATGTTGAACTTATGTTTTAATATTTTGGTTAGCTCTATGATATTTTTGAACTTATATTGTTTTGATGAGCTTTGTGATGCTTATGAGCTCTAATGGATATTTTATGTTTTTCATACTTATGTTATTTTGTGTATTTTATGTATTTTTTGAACATAAAGTTTGTTATGTTGTGCTGTTGTGTTGATGTTCCACGTCAAAAAAGGTGTACTGAAACCGTAAATAAAAAAATAAAATAAAATAAAATTGCTTTGACTAACAAATTTTGAAGGTAGGAAAATGTAAAATCCTCTTTCAGATTACATATTAAAAAATAAATAGGAAGAAGAAAAGTTGCAAGATAAAGTCGAAAGGTGGTTAATAACATCCGAAACGTAGTGTATGTTATGAAGCCTATTTTATTCCCATTCAAATCAAAATGCGCTATGTAAATTTAGTTACAGTATTCAATATTTTTGGATTATTTCAATATGGGATTTTGGGCATTTTAATATGTTTTTTATTGCCCCTATTTTTTCTTTATAAAGAGGGAGGCATTGCCTTTATATTTTTATCAAGCGAATCAGGGTTGTATTTTTCGTCATAATCAAATTATTGTGAAATTAAAGTAGCAACAACATGATGTAACCATCAATTTGATGATCCTTTTTAAAATTCTCTAATATTTGATGTGAGTTGATTTTTTTCTCTCTCTATGTTTCAATTAGATTTTGTCGAGTTCCCAATGAATAGGATAGTTCTTTTCTATTCAAATATGTGAGATCTCGTTCCTTTACTGTTCCTCTCTGAATTGGATTTTCCTCACAGGATCGTCCAGGACGATGTTGAGATCGTCCAGGCCGATCAGTGCATTGAAAACAGCTGATTTCTGGAGTGTTACTGGAATGATTTCTAGACTGGATCGTCCAGGACGATTTTGGATCGTCTGGGACGATCAGTGTATGGCAAAATCCCGAGAGCAAGGGGTTTTGGCAAATTAATTATCATCCTGCAAAATCGTCCAGTACGATTGGAAATTGGTCACATCGTCCAGGACGATCAGACTGATTTTATAAGGAAATCAGCTCGATTCGAGGAGAGAGAAAATCATTTTATAAAATATCTGATTTTGAAGAGAGAGAAAGAGAAAGGAAAAGAGAAGGGAAGTTGGGTTTCGGAGGCCGCGGAGCGCTTTTCGTCTGACGCCGCTGTTGGAGAAAGTGTAGATCTCGTGGTAAGGACGACACGG